TTTAATATTAATTCATATTCTATAACAACAAAAAAAAAGATTTGATTTACCATGACATTTTATATCAAGTAATGCATCACCCCAATGACCAGGTAAACATTTTTCACAATAAACACCATATGTATTACGTGTACAACGCAAACAATGTCCAGTTGTTCTATAAGATAAATGAAATACAATTATAAAAATAAAAAACACGTACAACAAAACTTACGTATTACAATTGCCTATTGTATTTGGATCAATATTTCCACTACAACTACATAATTCACAAGGTCTTCTTACACCAGTTATAAGACCTTCTGGATCACCAAAATATCCATCATCACAATATTCACATCGATCACCTTCAATAAATTAATTTATAAAGAAAAATTAAATTAATTCTATTATATCAATATTTACCTGTATATCCAGCTGGACAATTCAGACAAACAACATGTCCTTGTGGTAATTGCAATTGTGTACATGAAACACCAGTAGGACAAGGACATTTTTGACAATCATCAGGTGTACCTTGATGTGCTTGACCATAATATCCTGGTAAACAACGTTCACAATTATCACCTGTTGTATGATGTTGACATGCACATTTGCCTGTTTCAACATCACATGATAGTGAATGATTATGACAATGGCATGGTACACAATTAGCAAATGGACCACCAAATGATGGTTGTCGACGATAACCAAATGCACAATATTCACAACGTTCTCCATAATAACCTTGAGGACATGGTGAACAAGTTTCAATATTACCAATTGGAAAAAGGCCAGTTGAAGGTGTAGAATGTCCAAGAGTTATTTCACCAAGAAAACTAACAGCATTATCAACACCAAATGTTGCATGAATACGAATAGCTGTTATATTTGATAATAAACGCATAAATTCAAGAAAAGATAATGTTGGTGACCATGATTGTTCATTTAATCTTAATAAAATGACAAACAAACAAACAAACAAAAAGAAAATCATAGATATAACATTGTTAGAATTTGTTTTTACCTAAATCGAAATGTTAGAGGTTCTTCAGATGGAATTGTTTGTGGAACACCTCCATAAATAACAACACCAACTTTTACTCCATTAGCACCTTCAATAGCTACATCAGCATGTGTATACATACGATTGACATTAGCTGGTGCACGTAAAATTAATATAAATGTTAAAAATTGATTATAAGATAAAGTACGATCACCCAAATAACGAGCTAAAAAGAACCTCACAATTATATATATATGTATATATTAACTATAAAAAATAAATCCTTACGTGATGCTTCAAATGTTAGATCTTGACCAGGTAATGCTTGAACATAAATATAACTACCAGTATCACTATAAACATGTACTTCATGTCCTGTTTGATTTACTGCTCGCCATCCGTCAACACCTAAGAGAAAATTTTTTTTTTTTTTTCTATTAAATCTTTCAAAGCTTGAAAATTTGCACGTTAATACCTTTAGTAAAAGAAGACTTTATTGGATTATAATAATAATTCGGTGCTGATTGACATGTCGAAGCATGACCATAACAAAAACATTTTGTACAACCATCTGGATTCATTGGATCCAAATTGAAGAAACCTGGTCGACATCTATTCATAAAAGATAAGAATATAATGAGTGATCGAAAACCTTTTAGACCAAATTTTTCTTTACTTTTAACCCATTCGAAAGTATTAAAAGTTATAAGTTTAGAATTTTTGTCTCATGAGAACACGTCTCCAAGTAAGAAGACTTGCCAATCGAACTGATATTTTGCCTATAACTAGACTCCGATTGACACTAGTACAAGGTTATAAGGGTTTGTCCCCATGCATGATTCTTCCCAGGTTATTGTAATGTCAATGAATTCTTAGTTTCTGTAGAATGCCCGGAAAATTCCAGTACAAAACAATATGTTCGTCTCGAAATATTGAATATCCAAAAACCAATTATGCATGGGAAATAAAAGTAAGAAAACCTAGTATTTTCAACATTCGATATCTTAAGAACAATAAATACTTTTGAGCTGAGATCTTTCGCGGATTTTACTATCCACGAGATTTACCTATGGACGAAATTTCAGGTTCAAATTTCGTAATTCGATTTTTTCACAAATACCTTATCAGAGATTAAAAATTCAGTAACATTGTAATAAACTGGAAAGGACAGTGCATGGATACGAATCCTTATAAGCTTCTACTAGTCTCATTGGGACCAACTTATAAGCAAAATACCAGTTTGATTGGTGAGTTACACTTGAGAATCATTCCTCATGAGACAAAAATTCTGGTCTTAACTCATAACTTTTGATACTTTCTAGCAGGTCAAAAGTGAATAAACATCTTGTCTAAAAACTTTTCGATCATCCATTAATATACTAAATAAAATAATTATTACTTGTCACAATTTTGTCCTTCAGCAAATGTTTTACAATTACATTGACCCGTTTTAGCATTACATTGAAGTGGTTGTAAAGAACCAGGTTCATAACAAGAACATCGACTATATAAATGTGATAATGAATAGCTAACAAGAAAAGAAAAACAAATGAGAATTAAATTTACATACGTGCAACCATTCAATCCAAAATTATAATGATAAGGTGCACATTGATCACATTTATCACCAACTACACCCGGTTTGCATCGACATTGACCATTGGTTGCACATTGAATATCTTCTGATCCTATTTTCATTGTTTATAATAAATATTTAATCTTATAAGACTATAAACAAAACTTACCAATAGGATCACAACCACATGATAAACATTCACCTTCATTTTCTGGTAATCGATAGAAACCTAATTTACATCGTTCACAATTAGGTCCACCACGATTACCAGCACAATCAATACAAACACTACCATGACCTGTATGTTCATAAAGTTCTCGACTGAATGTACAATTTTTAGCAAAACCATTACAAACACAAGCTATATTCAATAAACTAAAAATCATAAACAAAAAAAAAAACGAAAAAATCAAACAAACCTTTGCATGGATGTGCATCAGTAACTCCTGCTGGTTGCCATGGGGCATCATTATAAGCTGGATGACACATATCACAATCTCGACCAATTGTATTATGTTCACATTCACATCGAGTTTCATTTTTATGATTACCACCTTGTTTTGTACATTTATTTGCATGACCATTACAATGACAACTATAAACAAAAAAAAAAAGAAAGATATACTTAATGAACAAAAAAATATATAGATAGATTTTTATTTCTCTTACCGTCCACCAACAGCTAAATCTGAAATAGCATAGAAATATGTTCGAAGTACAGCTGGTTGACCAAACATTTCATCTCCAAATGTATTCATTCGAACAAGTTGTATACGAATTTCAGATGCTGTTACCCAATCCTAGAAAAAAAAATTTTCTTTTCAATTAAGAACAACATTTTATTGAATATATTAATTATTCTTACTTGAAGATCATTACGCATTTCAAATGTCACTGCACCTGGTCGCCAATCAAGTGTACCAAATGCTACTTCAGATCCATGTAATGGTGTTAAATCACTAAAATCTTCTGAACAAATAGCTTCTGTATCAAAATCTGGATATTTTTTTGGTGATAATCCAAATGTTAGCACACATGATGCACTATAATATTGATATGGTACCCAAGAAGTATTTTCATGTGTACGTTTATAAATAACAAAACTTTCAGGTTTAGGTGATTGAAATGTTAATTTGATATAAGTCACATCATATGTTTTTCCTAAAAAAAAAAAAGGAATTTTTTATAAGAAAAATATTTTTATCATGAAAAAAATTCTTACCAAGATTAAGAGTTAAATTGATTGTATTTGGATAATTTATTCCTTCGAGCATTGTTTCACTTTGCCACCACGTAAGATTTTCTCGTTGATTAAAATCAGTCATATAACTTGGTGGATGAGCTCGTGATGAATCACGACTATCACATACTAAACAATTTTTTTGTTCATTACCCGATAAATAATCTCCCGATATTGCACTATGTGGTGGACCTGTTTGAATACAATATTCAGTACCAATATTCGTTGAATCAGTTTTCCAACGTTCACCACAAGTATTTGATGATACAACTGGCCGACGAAATGCTGCATTAACAAATTCAGGTAGACAACGAATAGCAGCACCACTTGATTTATTATAACATGTCTGTTCTTCAACAGCAACAGGAGAAGGAGGAGGAATTAATACATCATTTGGTTTTTTTTTTGTTGTAGATTTTTTTGAAGATGAACGAGTTATTGCTGTTTTAGAACTGGATCCACTTTTTTGTAATGATAAATTCGAAAATTCACCGAGTATAATTAAACATATGAATAATACTTTAATGTTTATTGTATAAATACCATACACTGTCATTGTTCACTTTTTTTTGTTTTTATTCGCGATAAACAGAGGCTTGCTGTATTTGTATGAGTGAAGAGTGTTTAATGTTCACACTAGTTTTGATTACGCGGCATGAGGTTTCGTAGTATAAAGATTGATTTCTTGCTCTCTTTCTATTCGCGTAATGTATAGACACAAAAGTTTTTTTTCTCTTCCCACCAACACTACAACGACTGTTGAACGTCTACTAATGTAGAGATATTGCGTTCATTCATGACCAGATATGACTCTCTGTTCTCTTACTTCTTTTTCGTTAGCGTCGACTAGAGAAGAAAGGCGAGCATCATCATCAATGCGTAAAAAGAAGAAAAAAAAAACTCTGCGTATGAAAGATTGAATGAACGAACCAACCATTCATTCAACCGCACAAATGATGGACGATAACTGACCCAGTGCATATATTATGATTGTATATATATATCGAATGAGAAAGAAAGAAAGAAAAGTACGAGACTACTAATAATATAAAGAGTGACCATATATACACGTAATCATTTCTTTTTTCTTTTATTCCTTATTCTAAAAGTACAATAAACACACCGAGTAGTTCAGATAGAGATAAAAAACTTTGATTGCAAGATCGAATAGTTATGGAAAAAAAAAGATCGAAGAGATATCACACCGGTGTTACTAATAAATGTGTAGTAGTTGATGTTGTTTGTTGTACATCATCTGACGCTTTGTTGGTATTTTTTGCATGTCGTTCACGAATTCGTCTCAAAAGTTCTTCACCTAAAACAAAACATTTTAATAAATAATAATTTTATGTTAAATAACAACTTACTTCGACGTTTACTTTCATTAGGTTGTACAAGACGAGCTGTATCAACATTTTCACCACATAATAGACATGCTTTCATTTTTATACATTGTAATTCTTTGGGTGTTGTCCATTCACCCTAGAAAAATTCAATGATTTCAAAACATCGAATTATATAATGATTACCATAAATGAAAATTCTTTGCAATGTGGACATTGAACAGAACGATCAAATAGATTATCTATATAAAAAAAAGAAAATTTAACTTTTTTTTGATATAAAATATAAACTTACTTGGAGCTAAATTTGTTAACATTGCTTCAAAATGATTAAGTATAGGCATAAGTACATTCCAAATTTCTTCTAATGATTGTTCAACAATATTAGTACCACAATGACATATAATATATGTACGATGATCTGTTTCCATAAGAAATCTAATTTATAATATAGTTAAATTCAAATTTTTCATAAAGAATAAATATTTGTTTTTTTATTTTTGCATACCTTACATCTTTTTCTTCATGTTCACCTAAAATAAAATTATTCCAATGTTTTTTATAAATTATATTTAATCTTAATATCGCTGAAACAGAAAATCGATGAAAAACTCCAAGTGGTAATGATTGACTTGTATAACGAACAGTAATAATAGTTTTTAAACCATTATTAAAAAGTTTCATTTCATCTTGTTGTTCATTTTGATTAATTAATGGTAAATAATAAGGTACAATAGCATAATCAAATTTAATTTCCTCTCGAACATCAGGATTTTGTTTTATATCAATTAATCGATCTGATTTTTTTTCACCTTTTAATAATGGATCAGGTGTTTGAACATGAATAATACGTTTTAATTGTGATTTACTCATTTTTGGATAAGCTATTAATAAAAATCGCATTATTGTTAACCATAAATGATAAAAATGTTCTTTTTTATGTAATAAACCAAACCATAATGAACGAAGAAGATCAGAATGTAAAAGACCATATTGAAGAAATTCTTTTTTATATGTTTGAAAATTTGATTCAGAAAGATTAGTTAATGAAAATATTTCATTTTTTTCATAATCAAGACATGTTGTTGACATATCATAACGAAATATATTATATAAAAGATCAGTTAACCATGATGGACGAAGAAAAACAACACGATCTGTTGTTAATATTTCATTTAAAACTAAAATTTTTCCTTCATCATGTAATGAAAATGTTATATCATTTATTAAATGTGCAAGACCATGTTTACTAATAACACGATCAGTATAATTTTCCCATAGAAGATATGGAACAGGTAAAAGTTCAGCTAAAGATTCAATATATTGATTTGTTTCAGCCCATAATGTTGGTAATATTCTATCAACATATGGAAATATAGATTTTTGTGTTAATACACATCGTTGAATTGTTCGATTAAGTTCATCAATACCTTGAAATGTTAATGAACTAATTGATTGACATGATTCAATTTGAATATTAATATTAAGTAAAGACGTATAAGTTTTAAGACGATCTGAAAGTGATGATGATATTGTATGAAGAGAATGTATTGAATCCATTTCATGTTTTATTCGATCAGTACGATATTGAAGATAAAATTTAAAGAAATTATTAATTTTTTCTAAAACTTTAATTCTAAACAAAAAAAAAAAGATAATATGTATTCGATAAAAACAAATAAATAAAACTTACTTATCTTCATTGGATCGTTGATCATATAAATCAATACATGTAGCAACAGGTAAGATCATAATTGCACGTGTTTTAGTTGCCTTTTCACATAGAAGTTGTAATAATTGAAATAATTGTATAATAGTATTAGATGATGATATATCAAATTTACTATTGAATATATCTTCAATAGATGAAGGGGTTGTTTGATGAAAATCAGCTGCATGTATACAAATAAGATGAAGAGCACTTGTATCAATAAATGGTGATATATGTTCATAATAATCAGATGATCCATTAAAATCAAATAATGTTACTGGAAGAATTTTAATCAATTCTGTTGGTACAGGAGGTCGAGGAGGTGCTGTCAATGATGATGGAAGTGGTAATTGAGGTTGATTTGATACTAATACATGTTGTTTAGATATTTGAGTCGAAGGAGTTTTTCGTTTGCGTGTATCCATTTCAAAACGTTGAAGTTGTATTTTAGGTAATTCAACAATTTTGGCACTTGAAGATGTCGTTGTTTTTGTTGCTGAAGATGATGGCAATGGAGCCGGTGTAGGTTGTTTCAATGTTGCTGATTGATCATTGATTGTTATTAAGCGAAGTGGATATTGATGAACTATAAAAATGATATAAAATGCCTCACTTGTTAAGACAATCCAAAATACTCTTAAAATGATTAAATTGGAATTCAAGAATTTACAAAGAAACATTTCTAAATATGAAATTGTTTTTGAGTCGGAAATGTGTTTCTAAGGACCAAATCGTGAAAACTTGATAATGAGGACGGAATAGGGTATGTAAAAAAAAAACAACAACCAATTTACTGATGCAAATAGTTAAAATAGATTATATCAGTTCAAAATCAACAGCTAGGACTGAATATATAATTTCTCGTATTAAAAATCTTTCAAGATCAGGTACAACGAAGTTAAATTCTAAAGCAATGAATTGTCTTATTTTTTTATTTGTTTGTTTTAATAAAAGGTTGTAAATATTTTATAGCTGCAAGCGAAATTTTCCCTAAAGCACAGACCATGACTTCTGTCAGAATCCAAACGAAAGAGTCATTCGAAGAAGGATATCCTCCACATAGTGCGTCAGTACTAGAGATGTACGGGGTCAAATCTTTTTGATCCTGGTCTCGTAGCTGGTACATGTTACTTGTGAATTCAACAAAAAAAATTAGTTCGTTTCATAAAACTTACTAACCATGAACAATTCTTTCTTGTGTTCCTTCATCGTTTTCATCAATGGTTATGGGCATATATTCTTCTAGACAATTTGCTAATGATGTTTTTCCACTCTTCTTTGGTCCAATTATGCATATTTTGAAACCTTGTCGAACATTAGCATCAATTTGTTGTTCATCAAAACAATTTCTTATCATTCGAAGTACATTCATTGTATTTGAACTATTTTCATTAAGCATTTCTGATGGAATAGCTGGTTGTATTAATGGATTATTATTTATTTTAAGTTCTCGACTTGAAATTAAATCATTATTTAATTTTTTAACTAAATCATTTGATATCGTACGTATTTTATTATTTGATACATCAACTTTAAGTGCAATAAGTAATAAATAATCATAAAATTTTGTTAATTGATTAAATGATAAATCAATTGAAAAAATCATTGATACACGTGTATAAGCAACTGGCATAGGAGGTAATTTTGTTATTAAATTATGACTAAGATTAAGTACATCAAGTGTATTAACAAGTAATAGATCAATTGGAAATGATGTTAAACGATTGTATGATAAATTAACATTTTTTAAATGATGTAATTGATTAAGACCACGTGGAAATTTAATTAATCGATTATGTGCTATATGAATATATTCAAGTTTTTTCATTTGTCCAAAATCAATTGTATCAATAGATTCTAATTGATTATGATCAAAAACAAAAAATTTTAAATGTTTTAAATTTACTAAATCATTATCAATTGTTGTTATTAAATTATGTTCACAATTTAATCTTATTAAATATTTATATGTATAAATAACATTTGGTAAATATTTAAAAAGATTAAATGATAAATCAAGTTCTTTAAGATTCTGTAATTGTTCAAATATATCATCCATATCAGTTAATTGATTATGTGAACAATTTAATGTTTCCAAATCAGTAAGTAAACTAATATCTAATGGTAAATTACTCAATTGATTTTGACTTACATCAAAATGTTGTAATGTTTTTATTGATATACAAACATTACGAATCATTTCAATATTATTACATAAATCTGTTGTTGGTGTACGAGAACGTAAACGAGATATTGAACGAGAAAATACACCACCATTACAATCATTATCCGTTAAATGTATGGGTAAAAGATGTCGAACACCAGATGTACCAGCTTGAATAAATAATTTTGGATCTGGTGGACGTGGAGGTGTAAGAAAACTAGTATTCATTTCATTAGTTGATTTTTTAGTATGTCCTAATGGACTAGTTTGTTGACTAACATTGGAAACACGTAATGATTGTGATGGACGAGTTGATTGTGGTCGACTCGATTTTAAACCTCCCTTTTAAACAAACGTAGATTTAATCAAGCAAATAAGAAAATTCTAAGATATTTATACAGATTTATTTTTCTTTTTAATCGACTCACTTTAGTGACACTCAACGTTCGACGCCCTACCGCCGGCGATGGCACTTTCCCTGCTGTTGATGGAGCAACCGGCATTATATATCTCGGTTTTTTTTTGTAAAGCACTCCACTACACAATGGTAACAACAACAGGACGTCAAATGATTGAGAACTTTGATTCTTTTTTTTTTCTCACACTTTACTTTTCTTCTCGGTTTTTTTTCTTTTTCTGTTATTTTTACATTTATATTTGCGCCTTCTTTTGAATTATCAAAATTCTACATGTCAACATTTTGTTTTACTATTGACAACAATTCACTCCACATACCTCTCTTATTTTTTGCTCGTTAGATTATTGATCTAGCAAAAATTTTATTTTAATTTCTGACATATTCATTCATACATTTTTGAATGTTTTTCCGGAAATTTTCCATCATTAAATATCTTTAAATCACTGAGCAACGAAAAAAACTCTTCTCTTTTGTTATTCTAGTAACAATGAAGTGTACCGAATCAATTTCACTATGTAATAAACAATTTATGAAGTGTATTTATTTTATTCCCGAACAAGTTTTCTTTTTCTTTCTTGTTAATTGTACAGTTTTGACTTGAATGTTATTTCATTTTAAAAATTCAAACAATTTATTTTATGAAAAAAGTAACTAATCATTCAAATTTAATGACATAAACCTAGATTACTATTATTCTTTCTCTTTTTCTTTTATTTTTACAAAAAAATAAAAAGAAACCAGAATGTTAATTAAACAGATAATACAAACTGAGTCATAAATAAAACAAAGGAATTTATTTTAAATAAATTAAAAAGAAAAAAAAAAGTATGCAATAAAGGAAATTATGACAAATAACACTAATTTATTCAGAATATTCCATGTGGAGGAAGGCCATAATGTTCACCAATTTGATGTTAATATAGATTAGAATGGCGTACTTAAATAACATTTCTGCTAATCCTTTTCGATTAATCATTATGAATAGGCAAATAGTTGATTTTTTTGTTTGGCTATGCTTAAATAGACGATTTTGTAGTCCTTGTAATCAATGTCTTCTAACGTTGAAATGTCATTAACAAAATAGGAACAGAGTCTTCTAGCAGAGCTGTCTCTCATAGCTAAAATAATCGAGTTATTTATTTATATTTATTTTTATCCTTTGTTTCTGTGAATAAATATAACGATCAGTTTGTTGATCAATCTTTTATATTCATAAATCTCACAATAATATATTTAAAACGATTCCGCGAACACTTTATAAACTCTTTTTACACATTTTTTTTTGCAAAAAAAGAATCTGCATATAGAAATTTATTAATTCTTTTAAAATTTCGTCATAACATATCGCGTAAAAGAGATCAATTACAGTAAAGGTTAATTTTTCGTGATATATCAAATGTCTTCATATTCATGCTAATGGGAACAAAAAAAAATGATTTATCGTATGACTATTGGACGATTAGTTTTTGCTGCTGATGATTTAACAACATGTATTATCGATAATAGAAGCAATGATTAAAAGTTATTAATTTCTCATAAAGATATTATCAACAGAGTCGAAACGTATGCAAAATTTCTCATATGTGTCATCGTGTTATTATACGCTGATCATTTCATATAATCCAAAATGATCACTTTTTTGTTTTAAACTAGAAAACAATTATTATTCATAAAAATAACGATTTAAAAGAAAAGAATTCTAGCAAATATTACTTTATTAGTTTCCACAAAATAATAAAAATCTTTTTCTTTTCCTGCTACACAATTCAATTGATAGTAATTATTTGTGTAATTAACTCTTGAATAAAAATTCTGATTCTTTATATTTAATGAGTTTAATGTTTTAAGTTTATGCTTTAAATCTATATACAATATATATTGCTTATAAACTGATCGTTAACACTGAAGTATGTTTATCAATTTGTTTTTCCGTACGCTTCTTTGTTTTTTTTTATCCATTCTCTATACAATATCTCACACAAAAAAAAGGAACAACAAGAATTGTGTCTTCCCAAAATGGACAAGCAAGAATACATCAGCACGATGGAAGAGAAAACTATAAAAAAAAAAGAAAAAAACAAAACAAAACAAAAAAAATTAAAGTAATCGATGGCGACATTCATCTGAACCACAACGACAATGTAACACACGATTTTCCACTGTATCAACCTTAAATAAAATAAACAAATATTTATTTAAAAAACAAAATATCAAAAATTTACTTCATACGAATAATCCCATGCTAATTCCGTACCAGCTTTAATATTAGATGCTGTAAAAAAAGCTACCCAAGGAAATCGTACATCCCATGTTTCAATAAATACATTTTGAACAAAAACATTTGGTGAACATGAATGATTATAAAATCTTGATACATTTCCTTTGAAATGAGCATCCATAACAAATATACCTGAATCATAATTTATTTGTTGATAATCAGGAAATATTTTATTATTTTCTGATGAGATTTGTTTTTCTTCAATAGATGTATGTTTATCTAAATATAAAATCATTTACAATTCATTATTCTTTTTCTTTTTTTCTTTTATATTAATCAAAATTTACTTTCATTATGTTGTATTACTGATGTTTGATTAGAAAATAATTGATGATCATCATCATTGTAGAAATTCGTTTGTTCATTAGATTGATCTTAAATTTAACAAAAAGAAAAAAAAAATAACTAAACATCAAATTTTTAAATTTAATCGAGATTAGTAACCTCTCTGAGAAATCGATCTGAATTTTCTCTGTAATGATGTTGGTTTAAGTGATGTAACAAAATCTAATGCAGTAAAATAAACATCACCCATAGTTTTTTCTACACCACGTCGATTAGCATCTTCATCATTAAGTATTTCTCCAGCATAAAAACTTAAAAAAGTACCAGCTGGTAAATCATATAATGTTCGTACACCCCAACCTTTTTCTGACGTATTATAGATTTGTAGAAGAGTATTTAAACCAAATTGCACACATCGATTTGTACAACGTGAATCACATTTACATTTACCATTACATTCATAAATACCTATAATAATAAAATTTATTATATTTATATGATATTTAGTAGAAGATACTTTAGAAGAAGAATTTTCTATGTAGAACATTCGATGATTATTAAGAAGGAGACTCATACGAATTGAATAAATTCACCATTGAATTTGACTAATACAAAAATTGCGATTCTTTCTCTATTTTGACTTGAAAGAAACTTCTAATGAACAAATCAATAGATCGCTAAGAAATATAATACTGTGCTCAAACTTCGGTACCATTTGACATGGAATGATCTTGGATAAGTCATTAACGACTATTTGTCTCATATTTCCCGTCCGATATCATACTGACTATGTTGTGACATACATCTACTGTTATAGTTAGTGTGTATGGAGAGATCAAGCAATTGAGCGCAAGAACTCTATGTCAGGCCGGCCTTCTACTCGAAGCTATAGCTAGTATTAGTTGTAGGGAAGATATCAGGCTATTGAATCTATCTCAAGGTAGGACTATTCTTCTTTTCTTCCTCTTCCTTGATAATTAAATAGGTTTTTGTAGCCAAAGATGTGCAGGATACATTGAAAACAAGAGTATTTTAGAAGGTTTTGAAAATTAAAAGAAGATCGAAATCTTCTTAAAATTTTTTAAAGCTCTACGATACCTGAAAAAGATATCGATTCTCGGAATCTTTTTTTATGTTGCGTACCGTACTTTGTTTTGTTTTTAGAATGTGGTAGAGCAATTCTGTACATCTCTTCGTTTTTAGCCAATGTTCAACACTTGTATTTGTGAATAGCTTAATGTTTCGTACTATCCTCTCATATTTTTATTCTTCATCATATATTCACTAGGAAATATCGTTAACTGTTAAATACCATTTGACTCGATATTTTCGCTATAAGTAACCTTCTATATATAACTAGCAAAACTCCAGCTAGATTCATTCTCTTGTACGTAAGTTTGAAAACATTTTATATATCCCAAAAAAATTCAATTTATCTTCAAAATTTTCTCTACTAAGATTTCGAAATTTGAACTCATTTACTATAAACTATTAGTATTTCAATTCAAATTTGGCATCGAATTGTTGTCTATATTATTTGTCAACACTACTATTTATTTATTTTTTGTAAACATACCTGAATGGATTTTTTCAAGTAATCGTCCATGTTTATAACCAAAATTTCTTTTAGCTAATGCATCATAAAGAAATAATCTCATATCATCTGTATGATCAAGTCTATCATCATCCTCATCAATTGATTGTTGAAATAATTCTTTTAATGAATTAATTAAATCTTCATAATAATGTGATTGTATAATAGCATCATATGTTTTTTGCCAACAAGCACATTTTGTTATATCTAAACAACCATCTGTACATGTACAACCATTGATATTATTTTTATCAATAATAATATCTGATGTTAATGGTATTCGGTCAATAATATATTCAAATGGTTTTGGTAATGATGAATCAATTTCATTAACAAGCATTAATGGTACTTTTTCTTTTCCTAATGCATAATCTTCAAGATTAACAAATGCTGTATTTGGTGAAATAAATTTTTGTATTACACGACAATTCATATCAAATGTAAATTGTCGAATTGTTAATGGTGAATTAATTTGATATAAATATGTATGTAAACGTTCACCGTCAGTAAACATTTGTCCACATGGTGATACATATACAATCGTACCAAGATCATTACGTATTTGACGTTTCCAACCATAATTTAATGGTATTAAAAGAAAATGACATTTATTATCATTAATTGTTAATTGTTTATCAGAAGCAAAACGTTTACATGGTGGTTCATATGATGATAATGAATTAAATAATGGTTGAAGACGTAATGAACCACGATAAAACCATTCATGTTTATTTAATATTGGTATAAATACACGCATAAGACTAGCATCAACTTTTGATACAATTGCATCAATCCATTGTCCATTTGATTCAATATTAATATGATCTTTAACAGATATATTAACAAGACGTCGTTTAGGATATGTTAAAACATAATTTTCAATATATTGTCTTGTACCTAAATCAACTTTTGATAAATAATTTGATAATGATTCAAGTAATAATCGTATTGCATTTGAACGTACATAAAATGGTGCATCATTATCAGCAAATATTAAATAATGTTGATTATTATTTAGTGATGGTTGTTCAGCTATAATACCACGTAATGGTTTATCAATATATCTTGATGTATCAGCGTCACCACTTGGCATATAAAGTACACGTGTACCAACATTAATATTATCATTTATATTATCATTTAAAGCAACACGTTCAGGTGGATAACGATAATGATCTTGTGATGTTGGTTTATGATGACAATTTGATAATCGACATGTCTAAGAAAATAAATTTAAAAACAAAAAAAATATTGATTTTATATTTTTTTTCTTTTTACTAATATTTGAAGTTTATTATCATTTGCTTGTTGCGCTCGAACAAAATATGCCGTTGTCCATCCATGTGATGGATTATAAACAAGTACACGTTGGCCAACATCAATAGCCACAGGCATGATAGAAAGAATTTTTTTTTTCGATTTTAAATTTGCTTTTTTTTTTGTTTTTCTTAATTAATGAAATAAAATTGATCAAATTTTTTGTTTCTTAAAAATCTAAATTCATTTATTGGTTTAATAAGATTTGGTACTGAAAATAGAAAATAAATATGTTTTTTTTTCTCGAATTTTTTTATTTGAATGAAAATAATCAAATTTTAAGAAAAAACGATGTTTATTACTAACAAAGAGATAAACGAACTGATCAAAGCGATATGTATGACATTTATTCATCATAAAGAGGTTTTTGAATTATTTTTAATTGGTCAATGATAATTAACCAATCAAAATCATGATTCTCTTGTTTTGAAGAAAATTAATATTTTGAAGATATTTCTTATTAGATTTTCGATAGTATACTTTAAGCATGTGTTTGATCAATATAACGAAGCTGATTTATTATAGCAAGATTTCTTTTACCTTGTTTTTTTCTGTGAATTATTATATGCTATAATAAAAATATTGTAACGATAATGACTCGCAGAGATGTTTTGAGTGGAGTGGGAGAGGTGTTTACCTCTAGTGACAAAGGCAGAATTTTAGGCTAGGAGGAGTGTAGCCTCTCCTATGAACTATTAAGCCTCCCTGGCAAGATTTTTGAACAAGAAAAAAAAACATATATTTCAAAAATGTTGCTAGCAGGAGGCCGAGTCACCACTGCTTTTCCCTTCCCAAATGTCCGACTTTCTGCCAGTTCTTTCACAACTTCATGGTAATTTTGGACAGAAATTGAATTTTGAAACACCATTTGCTTTTCTCTGGAAGAAAGTGGAATAAAAATAAGCACACAATGCCATTGCAATATGAATAGGATAATGTGCTACTGGGATTTATATATTAATAGCATATACTACATTTTAACTGTACCAAAAGAGAGCCATAATTCGAATGAATCAGCTCTCACCTTCAGCTAGGTATCTACTCTCAGCCTAATCTCTTCCGTTTGATAATAAAATGTATAATGGAGTTTATAGAAAAATCTCCAATGATTCCAAACAAAAAAAAATAAATTCTCGAAGCTCCTGGGTCACATTAGGTTTCGTTCTTGTTCCCTTGCGCCGATCGGAGAGTCATCCTTCAATCTTGAGAAATTTTTGTTTTTCCCTGCCTATGAGAGAACATTTTTTCGCGATAGGTCAATCATAGTTTATAATATGATATCGTTAATCTCTATGCATTAAGTCATTAAACATCATTAAAGACACTTGTATTTTTCACTTCAATGATAGAAAAATCTGTTATAATCCGTCAACTTTGCTGTTGAAAGATAAGAGCAAAACAAAAATATTAAAAATACCAACTAATCTTGATCTCTTTTAAGTAATAATACTAAGCTACAATAACATCTATACAAAAAACAAATATATACAAAATTTACCTGATGCAACGTAAGTAAATGAAGACAATATCAAAATATGAATATGAATAACATCTCTAAGTATTTTATAGAATGTAATAAATTCTTCACTATGAAATTATCTATGATACTAACTCTTACGCAAATCAGTTAGTTTGATTACATTTTTAGTATATGTATGTCATTATAAAATATTGTTCTAAGTTATCTGTCGTTCAATGAGCATTTCATTTCTTGAGTAATTAATATATAGAAAGCAAATTATTTAGAATGTGTTTCAACAAATGTGCTTATTGTCTACTTTTATAGCTATTCAATATATTTGGGATTACAAAAATCTAAACTGTTTATCGAATTATTTTGTGTATCGTTAAAGTTGAGGATAAATGAAATGAAGTGTCACAACAGATTTACCTATCTGGTAATGTATCGTCAGTTAATTAACATCATATGGCTGGTAACCGATATGAATACAAGCTGAAAAACAATTTTTAATAATTAGATAAAACGAAAATTTATTTAATTTTATATATTTCATTAGTATCTATTTTCTTTGCGATCGATTTATTCAAGATGTGTTCTCTAAGTTTCAAGATAAATCCATTCTTTTGTAACAATACAATTTCTGTGCTAAATTGATAATAAAAAGAAATCTTGTAGTTGTATATTTCTTTCAAGTATTATTCGTGAAAATTTGATTATTTTTTGTTTTAGTCACTTAAGTTCATAAACAAATAAATAAATCAAATCTAGATTTTATTCTTATTTGAACTAGAAAAAAGAAACCATATTCTATCACAAATCTCTCAATTATGAATCATTTTGTATCAATACATATAGATGATAAATCAATATCAATAAATATATCATTATATTATAATGATAATATGAATACAATATTATGTTGAAACTGCTGATGAAACATGAACAAATAAAGAATAGATGATACCCTATTTATTCTTCTTACTAGCCATAGGAACAAATTAGAAATGATTTTGACTTGTTTTTATTTCTAAATTCTTCACTGTGCAAATATTGTTGTTTCTTCTACTTTTTTTTTTACTTTCGGCAATATCCAATGAATTAACTGATAATCAACTTCGTAGTCATTCAATAATATTATATATATGTGTTATTTATTGTTATTTATTATAGTTCATCACAAGCATAGATTAGTATGTTTCTATTAGCTATGTTTGATTGATTATATTTAAATTGTAAAATTATTCATGGTTATTTTCATGCTCATCTTTTTACTCATCGATAATGTTTTCAACATACTTGTTTATGTATATTTTTTCCTTTGTAATTTTTGAATTTTATGCGTTGTTATTTGATTCGCAACTTGAATCATCATCACCAGAAAATCATGAAAATTATTCTTTCTTTATCTTTATATTAATTATATGTATTCAATTATTAATTTATATGTATATGCTATTATATCTTATATGTGTATTCTTATAGACGATATTCTTATTTTATATTATATTCAAACGACATGTGCTCAAATTATTTCAACAAATAATAAAAATCAATCACTAGAAAGACAATTATTAATAATGATTATAATTGTTTCAATAGTTTGATTGTTTATTGTTAGTCTCTATAATCTTTTTTTTTTTACTTTTCTTAATAATGATTATCGTACATTGCATACACTTAACGATGTATTTGTTCTTTTGTCAACATTCACATATGTCATACACTTCACTCTTCTTCTGATTATCTCTCTAGTACCATTCGCAAACATTTCAAAAATTTATTGACTTCGTTGATTATAAGTTGTTCTAATACAAGACATGTTATTGAACTAGATGTTATATCAATAATAAAAACAACAACATTATCTCGACCAACTGTACATGTTATTCAACGTTGACCTTATCTACAAACGACTTGATCAATATCAATAGATGACTTTCTTCAGATACTTTTCATCTCAATTTTTTGCTAACACTTTCTGCATTACGATCTCAGAAATAGAATTTCACTTTCCTTATTTAGTAGATTTGAAATAAAATAATTAAAACAGCATGAACAATTTATTGCGCATATTATACTATTCAGAAGATGTCTTTATGAAAAAAAGATGATTTTTTTAAAAAATGAAATACAAAAGAAAAACATTGGAATTAAATTACGATTTATGTTACGATACTGATAGGCCTGCGTTTTCTATTAATTACATTAATATATGATTTCGTCAAAAAAAAAAAACAAATTATATAAAAGAAAAAATAAATAGCACTTAATCACGAATAACACCACGAATTGCTTGACCTGGTGGTTTTGTATTCTTATCCATAATTACTAGTTTTCCATCACGTACAACGAATCTTCCATTAACAAGTACATGTATTATTCCCTGTGAAGGAAGTTTTGGTTGTTCATAAGTTGCACAATCTTTTATTGTCATCGGATCAAATATACATAAATCTGCTGTAGCACCCTCACAAATACGACCTCTAGTTTTCATTTGTGACGAAGCACTTTCTAATATTTGTGCTGGTAATAGAGACATTTTTCGTATTGCTTCCATTAATGTTATTATACCACGTTCACGAACATAATGACCAAGAACACGAGCACAAGCACCAGCTGCACGTGGATGACCACGAAGTGCATCACTACCCATCAATGTAATTGGGCTTTGAAGACAATCAATAACTGCTTGTTCTGGTACGGAATTAATAAGAATTAATCCACCTTCTTTTCGATATTTAGCAAAACTAATTGCATCTAATCGTTCTCCTGTATTAACATATGTCAAACTATCATAACTAATACCCAATTGTTCTTGCCATAAATCATCATTAAATAAAGCTGAATTAATATCACTACAACCAGCCATATAAGGATCTACAATAGAGTATTTTCTATTTCGATTTTTATATAGAAACGAAAATTACTCACAAAATTCTGTTGTTATATCCATTCCATTTTTACGTGCATCATGTAAAAGTTCAAGTGCTTTATCAGTTACAGATAAACAAGTGCTATGTAAATGACAAACATTAATGGCAGCTCTTGTACACGCTCCTAGAGCGAGTACTTCTTGAAGAGCAGCTAAACTACCATTTTTTTCTTGTGCACCAAAATAACGCATATGAACATGACAACAAACATTATATTTTTTTGCTAAACGAAAACATTCAACAATTTCCCATCGTGTTGCTCCTGAAACATAATGAATTCCAAAACCTACTGCCATAGCACCTCGTCGAAGACCATATTCAATTTCTTTTTTTATTTGATCAATTTTATCTGTTTGAAGTGCTGCTGGTGAATCACTTTGTGGTACGAAAGCAGGCGGATGATTAAATACTTTCATTCGTGCCGGAATATGACCAATAGCTACTCCATAATTAATTAAAGTTTTGCTTTCTCTTTCGGCGTACCATTGATCAATATCATTTGTTCCAATTTCAAGTTCAAATACAGATGTAACACCATCTTGACATTTTAATTTATAATATTCATCAGTATGTGCATGTGAATGAACATCAATAAAACCTGGACAAATAATTAAATTTGAAATATCTAATTCTATTTTGCCTTTTAATATATTTTCACTAATTGATGCAATTGTCCCATCAATTATACCAATAGATCGAATAGCATCGAAATTTGTTTCAGGATTAACAACACGACCATTTAAAAAAACAAGATCATATTCCATTATTTTTTTAATTTTTGGAATGTTTTTTCTATAATAAAATAAGAAGTATACATGTACGTTGTAACAGAAAGAAAAAATAAAGAAATAAGTAAAACTAAAACACAAAGAAAAAGAAAAATCTGATCATTGATTGTAACATTTCTGTTGTAGAACCAATATACAAAACAAAAAACGAATGGATGAATCAAATCATTCTCATAAACAAAATCAATGTTTAATCAACTATAACAATCTCAGAGTGGATTTTAGGATTTTTCGACTTGGAAGATTCAACGTCTTTTGGTGATATTCGTTTTTGAGAAACAGATGAATCATTATTGGTTAATCGTGTTTTATAACGATTGTTTAAAGTTTCATCAGTAGCTATATGTTGTCTACGTCGAGGTATGATTGTTTGCACCTTATGTTCTTGTATAAATGCAATAGATTGTGATTCTTGAATATCATTTTCATCAAGAGTAATATAAGGTTCTGATTCAGATTTTTGAATTATTGAAGCAAATGAATCACGTGCTGCTCTTGTCAATGGTATAGAAGCTGTTGATAAAATTGTTAATGTACGATCATTAAGAGAAATTTCAACTGTAGCTTCTACAGGATCTTCATTATTTATTGTTTCGGTTACAACTGGTTCTGCAGGAGAAGAGGATTCTGACGCTAAAAAATGTAAAGAAATCAGATTATTTATAGATTATAAATATATTAGTTAATACTGGAAATATTTTCTGATAAAGTTTGAAACTTAAACTATTCAATTCGTGAATGAATATTTAAAAAATCAACATGATAAAAGAAGACATTTGTCTTTTAGTTTGTCTCGGACAATTAAAGAAGCTTATTTCTATACAGACAAAAGGTTTAGATTAAAACACTGTTTAATATTCTTAGCTATCATTCTTTCCTTATCATAGTCATTCATTTAGGATACACCGATATGACTCTAACGATAAGAGTAAAATATCCAGTATTATAAATGTATAGGCTTTATCATTTGAGCAAACGACTAAAGCTAAGAAAAAACGATTTATACGAACATTTCTTCATGTAATTTTTTTCATCAATTTGAAAACAAGCGATGTAGATCAAGTAGAAAATGTTCAATATATTCTCTCTTATATAAAACAATTTATTCTTGAAAACAGATCTCTCATATTCCTAATACAAGATGTTCCAAAAGTCCACAGTGAAAAACTATGCAGATATTTCTTACATAGTTTAAGCAGTTTTAATTTTTGTTTAATATCATAGTGTGTTCTAGAGATGGAATCGCTTTTATTCGCAGCTTTTCAAGCCGATCTCGTTTTCGACTTGATTCAGTCCTTGATCTCATCGGTTCGATTTAAACTTTGAAAAACTTGAATCAATTTTATATGTAATGTGTTCTTTAAAATTTTATTTCATGTAATTTGATTTATAACAAATATTTAAAATGAACCCTATTATCTGAAATACGCAAACCGATCGTTTTTGAAATGTTTGAAAAAGTATTGTAGAAAATTTATTTTCGAATTAATTTATTTCCAATACTGATTCTCATTTTGAATTCGACTAGATGTTTGTACATGTTTTGTGACGATTCATTTTCACTTTATATTTATCAATAAATCATTTAAACGAAATTGACTTTGTTGATAAAAAAATTCTCTTGCTTGTGTTAATATTCTCTAACACTGCTATCAAAGTTTAACAATTTCAACTCAATCTTGTGAATCTTCTTCATAAATTTACTAAATAAATTATTCATTGCATGGCTTGATTGGAAGACTCATTTTCACAAATATCATGAATGTTGTCGATTTGCTACTGTGCTAGTTTCACAAAAGGGTTGAAAAATATCTTTAATATAATCTACGTCTGGCATTTTTATACCTAGTTCAACTTGTATTCTTCGTTTCACAATGATAAATGACTTAAATTTTGTTTATAAATAAAACTATTAGTATTCTAGTATGTATAAGTACAGAAAATTTATAGAATTAATCTTCAAAGAGCATACTATCATAATATTGAAAAGTTAATGTATATCACTACAACGATTAAAGAATATTTACGCGTGTTTTTTTTTCACAATAAAACTTTAAGACGTCCTATGTTTAGTTTTTCACACTATTTTTCACTCAATTAGGGATACTTCGAATCTATTTACTTATTTCATCATCGTGGGATGTTATACAGCGGTTTTTTTTAAACTAAAGATACTCTTAAGGCATCCATTAATATTAGATATAATAAGTGGTAGTATGGTTTATGAAACGTTTATTACAGAATGGCGGGAGAATATCAACGATGTCATATTGCATTTCGTCAGGTTTATTTTCAGACAATGCAACAATCACTTCAGACGCCGACTCGACTCCTTCTTCTTCCTCACATTTTTCCTCTTCATCATTTTCAATATTTGATTCTTCAGATGATTCAATAGTCACTTCTGGTTCGAGATTTGGATCAATTTGAGAAAATTCATCTAAAATCTACATAGAAAAAAAAATTCATTTTTTTTATATTACAAATAAATATTCAACATACTTTTTCTGTTTTAATAATAGCTTCACGTTCATTTTCTAATAGCGCTTTTTCAATTTCAACATTGATCAACGCAGGATCATTTTGTTCAATACTAATAGAAAAAGAATCAATGAGAAAATTTTAAAATCTTAAACAAATCTTACTTGAAATCTTCTGGTAGACGACTATTCATAATATCGTTAAAATCAGCCATTCGTCGATTTTTTATCTTTTTACCAATTATTTTAAATGATTTTTCAGCAAAATTTTTTCGAAAATCAGCACTATAATGAAATTGAAATTAACAACAAACAAAAATTCAATTCAACTATACCTAAGATTAAGTTTATATTTATCATTTGTTTTTTCTACTGTATTGAGAACATCATTAAAAGAAGGTAAATATTTTGTTCGATTAACCATATCTTCGAGAGCTTTATTGATCAATGGATGATCAATTTCAGATTCTCAAAAAAATAAAATTTATATTAAAGAACAATTGTAAATAAAAATTCAAACTTACCTGTTAAAGTAACCGGTTGATCAAGAATTCGTTCAGTAGAAGATGATTGACTTTTTAGTTCGGTAAGTTTAATATAAATCTGAATTATTTATCAATAATAGAAAATTTTTTTTTCTCAAAACAAAAAAATCGATTCAAATTACTTCATATGCTCGTTTCTTTAAATTTGATTCTACAGCATATAAATCACAATGTTTCATTTCATCTAATGACATATCTTTTCCTTCTAATTCACGTATTGTTTTTGATAAACTACGTAATCGTCGCTCTAATTTATTAATTTTTTTCTTTCGTGCTATTTTATATTCCGAAGTAGACATTGGATCAGTTGTTATTTTTAATTCTTGACTTGTCGTTAGCAATTGGGATTCATTCAATTCTAATGCGACATTGTTACATAAATTATGAAGTTGTTCAATCGTTTGTTCTACTGCTGATGTCGATATACTACTTTCATTATTTGTAGATAATGATGACGTGAAAGAAGTTGTAGTGGAAGATTTCGATGATATAATTCCAATTTTTTCATTTGTGGATGAAATTGGTTTTACTGATTCTATACTACGAGTAGGATTAGAAGGTTCTTTTGACGATCGATGTGACCTAGTTTAATGAAACAAAAATACGAAATGATTAATCTGAAATGATAAGGTTGCTTCTGATGTGTTTCTTCAAGGTATCAGTAAAATAGTCCATATGGCTAAACCTGACAGTTCACTCAGTAACACAAATCTTATGACTTCTAATATCTACAGGAAAAGTTTGAACTCAACCCATCGAGCACCAATATATTAAATACGTAATGCATTCATTATTCTTTTTTATTTGAAAAAAATGTCTGTAATTTATAACAAAGCAGGCACGATAACATCATTCATGTAAATGGATGAATATCACATTCACTTCGTACGCTATGGGTATGATTGAACATAATAATAGCTGATTCACTCAACCCACATCCGAAATATTATTTTTATGATAAAGATTAGATTTAGATTTTTGACTTAAAGTCCATAATAGATAGGCTTTAAGTTGATATAGAATCTTTTACTAAATGTCTCATAGTGCAAGAGAGCTAAATTTCTATAAAATGTTTCCTATAGGGATCATAGGACAAGAAAGAGTTGATCGATAATTCCAGCAAAGAATTTTTGAGTGAATGAAATCAAATAAAACTTTGGACTGATGATGGTTCATTCCGAACAGTTTTTTTTAATATTTTACCTTAATGTTGTTTCTTCCTGTAATGACATTGACAAGGCTTTAATAGGTGTAGTATTTCTAATTCTATCAACTAGTAAGCATTCGCAGTGAAACAGTACTGGGATGGAATGTGTTTTTCTAATGCTTAATTTTATATCATTATAATCAAAGGAGAAAGTGCAGATTTGAAAATCCCAGGCACCTTTCGACACATTTTGGTACTGAAGATGCTGATACATATTTGGAATTAAACTGGATATTAAGGTGATCCTTATGAATGAAACTCATACCATTTTAGTTTGATTTTTTCAATCAAGGCAATGCTATTTTTCGAAAATAATGGTTTACTATAAAACTTAACTAAAGGTTTCCTAGGTCAAGGAATCTGGATCTCTAATTGATTTTTCAAAATTCTTGAGTTCGATTTTTTTCAGTCAGTGTAAGCCTATTTCCTGCTGTTTACTCACGTTTCATAACTTACAGCTATTTGTTTGAAATAGGCTTCTCCTGACCGAAAAAATTGAACTCAAGAATTCTGAAAAACCGATTAGAGATTTGGATTCCTCGGTCCCAGAAGCCTTCAATCAAGTTTTATAGAAAATTGTTATTTTCGACAAATAGCCTTATCTTGACGGAAAAAAAATCGAATTAAAATTGTATGACTCTCATTCGTAGCTATCACCTTAATTTCCAGTCTAATTTCAAAAATGTATTAGCACCACAACACCTTGCAGTAAAATTTGATGTTCATGTCCTGCACTTACCCATTTGACTATAGCTGAGTGCTATTAATAAATGTATAGAGAAAAACGATCGAAAGAATGAAGCATTGTTTTTTGAATCATCTTGTTTTATAGGGTTTTTCCATATTGTTGATAATTGAAAGAAAAGAAAACTTTTTATTTATTTTTATCTTTGGATGCATTATGGTCGATGATAAAGTAGATATTTAGTGAAAAATGAAAGTAAAATTTTTTGAGATTTGAATAGTAACTTATACATTTTGATTAACAGCCAGTTTTTTGGTAGAAAAAATTTGTTTCAGTTGCTGAATTTATGGGAAAAATTTAGTCGCAAAAAAAGTCAAGTTTCAGCACTCTTAAAGAGAAACATCGTTTTTTTTGCGAAAAATAAAAAGAGTTGGACAATAAATCATATATAATCTACAACTAGAACTTCTACTTTATCGATTTATAAGAAGTTTTCATTCTCAAAAAAAAATAATTATTCCTTTTACGCTAAGCATCTTCTCAAAAGATGTCTTCAAAAACGCTGGCCGCCGCTTTTTTTTCACTTATCCAATATCGATGAAACTTTCAGAGAATATTCTTCGGTATCCGGGACGTACATTCAGTTAGTCCAAATGCTTCTAGATTGAGATACAGGTTTTCTAAAAACCTTGATTTCGAAAAAGTTTTTCGCAATTTTTTGGCCCCAGAAGCACTTTGAGAGTAAATTAAACATGTATTTGGAATCAGCGTGAAAAGCCGCAGCGAGTAATGTACCATATGTTGATTTATAAAATAAAAAGTTTTTCTACAGAAGTTTAGAGTAAGCGTTCTCCTTGAGGATTTTCTATCGCAAATGATCTTTTTTTTTTCCTCAATCTTATTTTGGAATACACGAAGTTAATATTTCTATGAAAAAAATTCATTTTTTGACAGAAAATAAATCATGTGCATATGCTCGATAGAAATTGTCCATTGTATAAATAACACTAATTTAATTCAAATTTATCTCAATCTTGTCACAAGAAATTTTTTCGAACATCAATGAAAATAATTAAAACTTGAAATTGATTTTTATTCACCTCAATAATTTGACATTATGTCTTTTCAATTGTTCATCAAATGAAGCTAAGAGTGTAAAATATTTCGTTGATTTATCATTCTTGGTAAACACAGTATGAATATTTTTGAGCAATGACTGAAAATCTGTTGAACATAAATAACATGATGATGTTATATTAAAATGACGACGAAGTTTATTCTGTATTATATTAATTTCTTTTTCATGTACAAGAACATTACCGACTAATGATAGAAACTAAACGAACAGAAACAGTAATGTATAAACTAATTATTTTTTTTTGTCTAAAACATAAACAAATCTACCTGTTCAAATTGAATTTTAATATTATCAAATATATCATCTGTCATCTAAAAAATATGAAACACTTTATACTATGATATAAATCATTTTTAATGAATAAATCATAGTTATGTGTTTGTATCATTTTTTCGATACCGTATCTATTAATTTTTTGTATAAATAGATCAAGAATACTACAAAATGATTTAATTATATTGAGCATGAAAACAAGTTTTATTGTTTAGAATAATATTTTCATTTATAAACAATTGCTAGTCATAAAATCATATTAATTTGTACTTTCGTCATAAGAAATAAAAACATATTAAATAAATCTATACAAATCTTTCCTTTCAAATTACCATCATTATCGTCACCATTCAAATTAATGGTATCAGTAATCGTTATAGTAGTTTATGCAATGTGTCAGCTTATTTTAGTATTATTTTAATGAATCTGTGGAATGTCTTAAAAGCAGAAAAAAAAATGGAGAATTTTTTTTAATCTGAATACAAAGCAGTTGGAGTTTTAAATTATTTCGAAACACCATTAATATTTATTCAGATAGATGGTGTAAGCAAACAGCTCGAAAATTAGTTGGATTTGAATTCGTACAAAATTCGAATGTAATTCGATAAAATTATAACACATATAATTAGATATCATATGAAAAAGATGAGTAATACCCAAGAAAGTAAATTGGCATGATACAATCAACGGATAAACATATTTGAAATTAACTGTAATCTGATGTAGTTTTTGAAGCCGACTTTTAATTTGTCATCTAATTTGTTTTTCAGTTCAGCTATGACAATGACAAATGATAAATACAAGATGATGTTTTTACTCTTTTGCCATCAAAATGTGAAAAAGCTCAATTTTCTCAACAATAAAACAAAGCTTTAAAAGAATTGTATACCGAGTGAGGAAAAATAATTGCAACATCAGATATTTCGAAAATATTTTAACAAAGGCAAATTATAAAGTCTCGAATTTTGTTGTAAAATATGCGCTGTCGAATTCTTTACAAAAACTATATCATAAGAGTCTTCTGACTTGTTCTTATGGATTCTTAGAAAAGTTAAATTAAAGATGTATGAAACTTTGGTATATCACAGTATATCGGACGAATAAAAAAATATTTGTAGTCATATATATTTTGTGTCTATCTCCGCACAGACAAACGTTAAAACTTGAATTTTTATTTAAAGATGCGTCGTAAAAGTCACTACAATAGTTAAAGTAAAAGATTCTCTTGACTTGTAATAATGAATTTAGAGAGAACTACAATGAAAGATGTATAAGATGCTCTAATTGTTCACTCTAATAATGATGTACACTCTCCCGAAAATACAAGTTTACGATCTAAACCAATTCTATTGTACAAAAATCCATTGCTCAGTAGCATAGTACAGACAATATGGTTGTCTTGATGGATGCTTGAAAATCCCCAGAAAGAATTAAAAGCATGTCACATGCGATTATTGTTTAGATACAAAAGGGAAATCAATTCCAATGAGTAGAGAATTAGAGCATCTTATATATCTTCTACTTTAGCTCTCTCTAAATTTATTGTTGCAAGCAGAGAGAATCTTTGATTTCAATTATTATAAAGAATTTTATCATGCACCTTTAGACAACAATTCAAGTTTTGATGATTTGTCTATGCAGAGATGTATACAAAATATATATTAACATAAACAATTTGTTAGCTTCACGATATAATAGAACTAATGATGGTGTGTAGGTGTGGATAGGTGATCGTGTGGGCGTGGATGTGAATGTGAGCATGAGTATGATTGTGGTTGTAAGTGAGTGATCGTATGAATATGAGTGGTGTTTGTGAGAGTGGTGCAGACGGAGTATGAATATAGGCGGGGCTGATGTTGTGAGTGTGATTGTGAATGACCTGGCCTACTTCTAATGCACCCTCACACACATCCACGTCCACATCCACACTTCATGCACACCCATACCCCGCAGTCACGCACCTACACTCCACCCACACCCCACCTTCGTCTTTGTTTCTATACCAAGAAATCATTAAAATTCAATCGGACTAATTTCTCAAGAAATCGTCACTCGTCCTTTAGGCTGTGAGAATCGGTATTACGATCCTTTAAATATCTGAGCTTTTTCGTAACGTAGAATTCTTTATTTGTCACTGAATGTTAGAAAATCATTTTCGAGATAATAGTCAACTTTCGCGTTAGAATACACGTCTCTAAAATGGAAATCGACTTGTTATAGCAAGAGTATGATGTTCAACAACAGTTATAGTGAAAATACTATGCTGGTCATCAACATCACTTATGGTCTAATAACATAATGAATTATCTCTTTCATATGCTTCTAGTCAACATTCTGATGATGGTCGTATAAATAGGACCGAAAATTCAACACAAGTCAAAATAAAATTAAGATTAAAATTAAAACAAACAAAAAAAGAAAAAGCAAAATTTATTATTATTTTATTATTATTTTCATTTACTCCTCTAACATGATACATAAATTAAAAAAATTTCTTTCCTTCAAACTATCAAAGTTTAAATAAAGAAAAAATTCAATAGGTGATCAATAGTTGATCTGTTCTATTAATATATGAAGTTGCTTTAATAAATATAGTATTAATGAATTTATCAAAAATAGCTGATTTGGCAACCTAAATTTCTCGGTGAACCTTCATGCTAAAGACTTAATTCTTTTTGTTTGAAAGCGCATGTCAGAATGCAGGGCACTATAGAGTCCTTTTTTTAAATTCTTTTTAAGCGGAAAGAAGAAATCAAAAGTTCAATGGCTTTAAAAAATCCCTAAAAATAGGAATTTTCCTTTGGAGGTGTTTTCTTATATGGTAATAAAAAAGCCTATTTTACAAAAGGACTTTGTGGTGCTTTGCGTCCTAATATGGTCTTTCTAACAAAAAAATATTTAAATATATAACATGAACTTGAACAGAGAAAGTCAACTCAGAAAAACTATTCTAACTGTATCTAGATAAATCAAAGCTAGCTCGTTTCAAAACGAAACATCAATAATAAAGGAAACATAAAATATTTCGTCATTCACAAAATAAAGTAAACTATACAAGTCGAGAAAAAAATTTCATTACATACTATTTGTTTAACGTAACGATCGAATTCAAGTGAATAAATTTTAAAAGAATTTATAAATTTGATGATAGCAATAATAAAGAAAAAAATTTTCATATTGAGTTCGTTCTCCCATGAAGCAAAGATCTCTTACACATAAGTAGCGCTGTATCTTTTATTCTACAGGGTGTCCGGAAAGTCCTTAGAGTTAGAAAAATTTGCATATCTCCTTTACAGCTCGACCAAACGAGCTCATTTTTTTTAACAAAGATTGAGGTATGTTCACACTCCAAATCCATATGGACAAGGGTATTGAGAATCTTTGTTAAGTATCACTATTGACCTCAACAAGAAAATTTTACTGTTTCACAGAGAGGAAGAAAAACCATATACTTAACAAAGGTTCTCACTAACTTTGTCAGTATGGATTTGGAGTGTGGATATGCCTCTATCCTGGGTAAAAATATCAGTTGGTTTGCTCAAGCCATAATGGAGAGAGTCAATTGTCTTTTCAATAAAGTGTCTTTTGCCCTATCCTGTGTAATGTTTGTTTTCCTAACTGTGAAACAGTAAAATTTTCTTGTTAAGGTTAATAGTGATACTTAACAAAGATTCTCAATACCCTTGTCCATATGGATTTGGAGTGTGAACATGCTTCAATCTTTGTTAAAAAAATGAGCCCGTTTGGTCGAGCCGTAAAGGAGATATCCAAATTTTTGTAACTCTAAGGACTTTCCGGATACCCTATATATATAAATACTATGCAAAACATGAAAAAAACGTCATTAGCAACTGAACACTAATTTTGCACGACGTTTGTTTTATTTCCTTTGTCGACAGCTGAATACACTACGTTTTGAAATTAACGGCAAGTGAAGAATGATGCTTATCAGCAGTGTATATTGTTCTGGTTCGAAATTAATCCTATGATACCATAGATTTCATTTGGTTCTACTTAGAAAGGGAAAGAATTAAGAGAGAAAGTTTCTTAAAGCTACAGAGAAATTCTTCATTCATCAGCATTTTTTTCAGAAAAATGTATTCTCAGCTAGAACTTTTAATCCTCTCATTATCAATCATCACACACTTTTCCCTTCGTCACTTTTTCTCGTGTCAGGAAATTCGTAAAGAAATTTCTGATCAATGAAAATATACATTTTTACTACATACAAAAATTGTCTACAACAATAGGTTTACAAGCAATGTGTTTTCTAATAGTTGCATGGTATTTTATCTATTGCTCATCATCACTACCATCATCACTTTTGTTCATATATATATTTTGATATGGATGTGAGTGTGAGTGTTCTTCTCTTTACTCACACCTTCCACTATTGGCAGAAAGGAATAAATGGACCCATTTAAAACTTTATTGCTTCACCTCACAAACTGGCCGTGTATCACCTATAGTATTGTACGAAAGTGTTGTAAGTATCATATTCAAAAAAATACACTATATCAGTATTTTGCGACAAGATATTTATTGAATATCTAATAAACTATTTGATCGGAGCATTTTCAGTAAAAGGACATCTGAAGTTGCTGTCCATATATTGAGTTGGACGTCGCACATAATTTTCTACAGTATCTATTAAATGAATTTTAGATGCGTTGACGATCAAACTATGCTTTTGACATTTGCTTTATCTTCTGCCATTTTAATATATCATTCTTCAAAATATGACCTGATTTAGTTTCCATTTGAGAGAAAATAATCGGTTTTTCTTTAAAAAATTGTAAACATAATTTTGCTTTTACATAAGCAATCAGTTCCATCGAACTATTAGAGATATTACTTATTGACAACAGAAAATTTCTAGGGAGAAATGCAGATTGCAAGAAAAATTTAAAAGGGAAAAATCACCCTACTTCTCTCCCCTCTAATCATATACACTGTATGATACCGTTTCTCTTTGTAATCTATCAGCCTCAAGATTGAATAACGTTTCTTCTTAAAAGAAAAAGACTATGTGTTACAAAGCACTATAAATCGCCTTTCTAGAAATTAACTCTTTGTTCGATTTATCCTATTGATACTTCTTCGTTATTTATTTTCAGGGCGTACGTGTCAAAATAGCCTTACCCCGAAAATGACGTACAACACGAGATTCTATTTTTAAAAGGATGTGATTTTAGTCGAGCACTAAATGATACAGATTAGTCATTGCCTTTAAAAATTCCCATACGATCCACATTTAAAAGCATGAATATCCAACGCAAAATGAAACATGTATGTCAAAACAGTTTCTATCTCACCATATATGAACATATCAAATATTCAATTATTGTTATTATGATTTTATCCTTGAGTCTTATCGAATGTTAGCTAAAAGAAAAAGTACTACTGCATAAATGAATGTGTGGTTGATAACCAACTTCGCTACATATTTGTTTTTCAAAATGAAAAGATATTTCTCGTAATTATTCTTCTATATTTTGATTGATTTTTATTCAAAAGTTAAAAATTGAATAAACAATCTGTTACTGTGTAAAAGGGAAAAATTTCAATGAATGTTTCAATAATTCTTTTAATACTCAAGTTTAGTTTATTTATTCTTTTTTTTTTTGTATACAGATTGAGATAGAAATGAATTATAAACAGCTCAGTATTAGTTCGTTTTCAGGCCACAATCGACTCTATAATGGACGCAGGCATGTGTCCAGAGTTCGACTGGATCAAACGCAAATTAACTCATCATAGCTGTTATTTTAAAAGCAAAATAGTTCAACCGATCGCGTCTGAAATAAAATAAATGAACAGACACAACAATCATCTATTATTTATCACACCTATTGATCAACTGAATGTCCTCTATCTATTAATTCATATTTTCATTTTAATAATATTTTCATAAATATTTTTTCAAATAATTTAAATTATTCATTAATCAAAAAAAGAAAACATTTCATTAATTTTTTTTAACGCCATCTTTTGCTATACTATTCATTCATGATTGAATATCAACCAATAAATCAACATTATTGTTTATTTGTTGAGTCATCGTTATCGTCATCGACAAAAAACCAAACTTACTATTTTATTATTTAACAAAAATCAATCATGGTTGAATTACACGATATTGAAATGAAAGAAGTTGATCCATCAAATGGATCGAATCCAACTGGCACAACAACAATATCAAAAGATGAAAAAAAAGATGCAAATACTTTAACATTTGATGGTTTGATTTTTGTTTTTTTTCTTATTATTATTATTTTATTTTTTTTTAAACTTAACTCATTCTCTTCAATAAATAGATATTAAAGAACAAGTGCGTACAATAGAAAAAGCAGTAAATTCTAAAGAACCTCGTTTTATTCTTCGTGTATTACGTGGACTTGCATCAACACGAAAACGTTTAAATGAAGATGTTCTTCGTCGTCTTATTTTATTTTATTATGGTTCAAATTCAACTGAACGTGAAATTCTTCTTGGATTTGCACAATCAATCTCTCAGGTTAATATTTCAAAATAATATAAATAAAACATTGAATCTTTTATTCATTTAGCCAATGGATGTTGATATGGAAAAAATAAGTAATTCACCAGCACCAGCTACTAATGAAAAACAATCTGTATCTCGTCCTCAAACATCTCGAGGACGTGCTGCTTCATTACCGGAAGTTGATTTATACATACATCTAATTGTTCTTCTCTTTTTAATTGATCGAAATGCATTAAAAACGGTAAAGAAAAAGGCCTATTGATTTACATTATTTTAATGAAATTTATTAAATATTTAGGCTCTTGATTGTGCGAAACGTTTAGTTGATAAAACAAGTGTACTTAATCGTCGTACACTTGATTTACTATCAGCTAAATGTTATTTTTATTATGCACGTATATTTGAATTAAATAATATGCTTGATACAATTCGACCGTATGTGTTTCTGATAAATATATAGAATATTTTTTTAAAATACATCTTCTATTTAGATTTTTACATAGTCGATTACGTACAGCAACATTAAGAAATGATTTTGAAGGAACAGCTGTATTAATTAATTTATTATTAAGAAATTATCTTCATTATAATTTATATAGTCAAGCACAAAAACTTGTACTTAAATCGGTTTTTCCTGATCATGCATCAAATAATGAATGGGCACGATATCTTTATTATCTTGGTAAAGATTTAAGATAATTTTTAGAGAAAAAAAAAAAAAGAAAAGAAATATCAATTTTATAGGTCGTATACGTGCAATGCAATTAGAGTATACAAAAGCTCATCAACATTTATTAACAGCTATTCGAAAAGCACCGCAACAAACGGCTATTGGTTTTCGACAAAATGTAAATGATCAGAATGAAAAAAGAAAATACATTATTGAAATATTCTTTGTTTTTTAGGCGCATAAATTTCTTGTAACGGTTGAATTGTTACTGGGTGATATTCCTGATAAGGCAACGTTTAAAAATCCTCAACTTAAACGTTCATTAGATCCATATTATCAATTGACATTAGGTACAGTGAAAGTAGGTTAGATTGATTTTTATGTATTCATTATATTTTTTAGCTGTTCGTGCGGGAGATTTAAGTCGATTTAAAGAAGTTCTTGAAACATTTTCTGAACGATTTCAACAAGAAAAAACTTGGTCACTTATTATTCGGTTAGTTAGAGAATGTTTTTCTAAAACTGAATTCTTTACTTTTTTTTGTATTTTGAATTATATTAGATTACGACATAATGTTATTAAAACAGGCATTAAAATGATTAGTTTATCTTATGCTAAAATATCATTTTCTGATGTTGCTCAAAAATTACAACTTGATTCACCAGAAGATGCTGAATATATTGTAGCTAAAGTAAGTCTTATCATCAATTCGCTAAAGACATACATAATTAAAGCAAAAACATAAAATTTTGTTACGTATTTGAAGGAAGTTAATAACTATCTTGAGAAGATATGAAAATATTTTACCTAAGGATGAGATATGAGTATTCATCTAACCTCACTCCTGTAATGAAATATTAAAGGGTGTCTCATAATAGCTAAGAACAAACTGTCAATAATATTTTTCATACTTTTTTCTTGATGTAGAAAGTTAAAATTTTTATTACATGCATATCAAACCAATATCTTTAATTTTTCTAAGTTTCAGCGTTCTAGCTTAAACTAATACTGAAATACATGAATTTTCGTACTAGATTTTTATAATACTTTTACTACTTACGAGAGAACTTCTTCAACCGTCCTCTTCTAAGTTCAATGATTTTTTTGCCTATAGATACTAAATAGTGTTCCAGCAAAAACCCACCCTAAAAAGATTTAAGTTCCTTTTGAGATTTAACTAAGCTTTTGAATTTTGATGTTAAACTTTGTACATATAAAGAGCTCAGCTACATTACCATCCATTAAAAATATTCACAAGTTTCCAGCAAAGTCTCTTTGAGATATGAAGCTTACAAAAATTGTATGTTGTATATACACTATCCATGGAAAAGAGCTTATATCTCGAAAAGACTTTGTCTAAAACTTCTGAATTTTTTTATGGAACTTGCTCTAGCTGAGTTCTCCATATACACAAAGTTCCAGATTAAAATTCGCAAATACGACTTTCCCGAAAATCTAAGGTCTCTAGAAAATAGACATGTTAAAAGCTCGATAGTTTAGTCAAGTACCTATAGGCCAAAAATCATTGATATTGGAAGAAGGTAACTCAAAAGGTTCCTTCATAAGTTTGTTTTTATCTATACAAGAATATATTGACATCTAGAATCGTTCAGATTTCATGATAAATTTTATCTTAAATATTCATCAGTTGCGAATAGAGAAAAGATTTTTCAATAGATAGTGATGGTCAATTTGATAATATATAGGGGAGAGAGTAAAAAAATATGTAATGTGTACTGAAAGAAAACGTTCGCGAAAAAGTGTTTGATACATCATTATCCATTAGAAAAATAAATTGCAAAAGAATGAAAGAAAAATGTTCAAAAATGACGAACGAAATATCTTATCAATTATAGCGTGTCATAGAAAACAATTCAGAGTATGTTTATACACATTGAGTTTTATTATAATTTGCATTTTTGCAAAAAATTGTTTTGTACAAAATCTTTTCATCATATGAAAATGAAGATTTCATAAAAAACAAATACGAATAATCATGTATATCAATCTTAACCATGCAGTTTGGTATTAGTTTTAGCTAGAAAGCTGAAACTTTGAAAAGATAAAAATTTCACTCTTCAACGTGAAGAAAAAGCATGAAAAACGTTATTCATAATTTATTCTCAGTTGTTATGGGATGCTCTTTATGGTTAGAAAAACTTATACAATTATTTTTCGTCTTACAATCAATACAGAATGCATTGTTAATGAACTGATCAATATTTTGAAAGATCTCATGAATTTTTATATAAATTCAAATAATATTTCATTAAACTATCTAAAAATTACTTCAAAAATTTTTTAGGCTATACGTGATGGAGTAATAGAAGCAAGTATAGATCATGAACAAGGTTACGTACAATCACGTGAAGTTATTGATGTTTATACAACACGTGAACCAATGAATGCATTCCATCAACGTATTGAATTTTGCCTTAAAGTTCATAATGAAGCAGTTAAAGCAATGCGCTATCCACCAAAGAAATATAATGAAGATTTAGAAACAGCTCAAGTAAGATTAATTTCCATTATTTTTGTTTCAATTGTTTTGAAAATGGTTTTGTTTTCTTTTCCAGGAACGACGAGAACGTGAACAAGAAGAATTAGAATATGCAAAAGAAATGGCTGATGATGAAGATGATTTTTAAAAGAAAAAAAAAATAAAATAAAATAGAACATTGACTTTGTTACGTACTGTCATTTGTTAGTTTTCTTTTCTTCTTTTATCTTAAATAAAATCAAGATGCTCGCAAAATCAATTGATTTCAATTCAAAACCTTTTCCAGATACTAAGTATACCGAAAATAAATCTTCAGTATTCATTTTCAAGATAACGCTCTTTCGTAGAAATGTTCAGAAACTTTTACCAGTAAAGAATAATAATAATATACCTCAATCTATTATTACTCGAATAGCATTTGATAGAGTAAATCTAACTGATAGTAAAAATAAATTATCAACAACACTAACTGCTTGATCCCCAATCAAGATAATCTACTGCTAATAATAACTGCGTCTACAAATGAGCATTTATTTCAAAAACATCCAAGTTTATTTGATTCAAATGTATGCACTGTTTCTATAGTTATTTTGTGACATATGATCTAATAGGATTGTTGAAATATAGAGGTAGAAATTTGGACCCGCTCCCCTTACAGAACGTACCAAATACCTTGGTGACTAAAGATCATCGGATCCAAAGTCTTCAGACCCGGATCGGCTGGAATCAATCCGACGGGCTCTACTGGCGATCCATCATAGATCGTGAGAGACATCTTCGCAATCCTCTCCTTGAAAGTGCGAATAACAGCTATACCGTGTTTCACGCTTTAATTTCACAGGGATTGTGCTAACAGTTTTCTTTTTTATTCAGTTCAAAAGAATCTGTCGAATTTATGACGCCAATGAACTTTAACATAATTCAAAATTTCTATATGTTATAGAAGAGACTTATTTAAAGAATCTACAAGCGTCTAATGCTGTTAACAGTGATGTGAGTGTATCTTCACTCATATCCACACTCTGATAGATCCCGATAGATCCTACCGTAACTATTGATATCGATTAATAAAAACTGCATTATTTCATAATTCATTTGCGTCATTTAGTAATTCTAAACGTAGTTTCTCTTCATTAAATCAAAAAAAAAATTCTAAGTTATTATTACGAAATTAATTTTTTACCTGAACTAAGTAATGAAAGAAGTGAACAGTTTTTAGTAACTATGCATAATTTTGTACTAAATTGTTCTGCTTATTAAATTATCTGTTACCAATTACAAAAGATCAGTTAGTTTAAATAATGAAAAAAATAAGAATGAGTCAAAAATCTAAATATGCTTTTTTTAAGACACAATGAAAATATGTTATTCGATGATGAAGATCATCTAAAACATATTGATTTTGGTTCTATGCCATCAATCATACCAACACTTAAAATAACAAAATAATTTGTTGATATTATTGATGACGTACATAGTGATATGTATAAGTATTATAGAATACTTATCCGTTAAGGTTTAATTGTTATTAAAAAACTTATAAATATATGAATGTCTATTGTTGAAATAATGTAACATAGTAAAAGAGTTAAAAATAAAATATTTCAATGAAATGTAAGATTTTATGTTTAGGTACACAATTAAATTTTTTTTCAAAAGAAAATGTTACATTAGAATTAAGAGAAAGATTTTGATTTAAATATGACAGACCAATAATTAGAATTTGATATTGAAAACAAATAGTTAAAACTAGTATAAATTCATTAATAACAAAAGTTTATCATATATTTCAATATTATTATCAATAGTATAAGCAAGTCATAAATATATAGTATTATCTAGTTTTTCACTCAATAAAATAAGAAATACTAAGCTATACTTTTTTGTTTTTCCATGTTGGTATTTTTTCTCTGTTTTCTAATTTGCTGTACGACGAAAACTCATTTTACATATAGAATTGTTTAGCTTGAATGTCCCATTACACTTATGATGGCGTTGCTGTTGGATTATGAGTACGTTTGAGAGCAAGAAAATTTATAATAGTTTTTTTTTCGTTTATTTAATATTTCTGAAATATATTATTCGGTTTTGTCTTTTTTTATTTCAATACAAAGAATTCAATAAAATAATTCTTATAATATGTACACAGTTCTATTTCATATTAAATATTAGTCAATTCAACAATATGATTGATCTATTGACAAAAATTATGGGCAATTAAGACAGTCACTGGGTTGTAAATTACTCCGAAAATTAGGCTTGGAAAGAGGATATAAGTTTTTATAGTTCTTATGTATTCGATAGAAGAATAAATAATAGTGCTACCTATAACAATCATCGCATTGCCTGTTGGCATGCATTCTAGCTACAAAAAAAAATTGTTTTTGTCGAATGTATGTGTGTTATGTATATATATACATATTTTATTTTCTTCTCCCATTAATATCGTCTAGTATAAAGCATTGTGGATTTGACTGTGTCTTTTCATTACTCGTAACCGAAGAAACGTCATAGTGCCTATTCATTCAAAATTTATCTGAAATGATAATATTATCCGATAGAAATGTACGAAAAATTTTTAAAAAGTGCATTCATTTCTATAGCTTCAGTAACAAATAAGAAATCTTCCAAACTCGAAGTGAATTGTGTCTATCATATTAAATTTTGAACCATTTTTTTTATAGTATTATCAATGACAATGTTGTTCACAAGAGCAACAACATTATCTGTTGAAAGATATTATGCTCGTAGTTTCTTATTGAGCAATCATTAAACAAGTACGATTACTATCCCTATCGAAGAATCCTCATTTTATCAAAGTTTTAACAAATGACTCAATAAATTCTTATCAGAAGATTCAAATAAAGAAAAAAAAATTCTAATTCATTTAATAAATTGGCTATAGTAGAATACTTCTTATCCTCATCATCATTATCATCAAATAATTTACAATTAGCAATGAAATTAATTAATCTTGCACAAGACAATGGTGATTGAAGTTCATTAAATGCTAGTGATATGAAATCACTTTTTAATTTAGTTAATGGATAAATCGAACAAAAACAAAAATAACAAATCAACAATTGCATATTTTCAACACTTTCTTTTTCTTTTTGTCCTTCATTGAATAATGAATAAATAGATGTGCAAATTATCGTTGTATTGTTTTTTGGTTAGTGACATATGTTTCTAGTACTTTGTCTTGTTCCCAATTCAATCATCATTCACTCATGTATACACTCTTCCTCTTCTAGTTTTTTTTTTTTGTCTAATTGTTTCTATTCGATGCACCTCCCGCTGATTGGATTGAACTTGAAGAGAGTATAGAAAAAAAAATGTACGTGACGCCCATGTCTGATGATAGAAGTTATTTAGGTTTTTTTTATTTTGAAGAAGAATTATTGCTGTAACATTCATCATCACTGACAACATCAATATCATTCTCCTCACAACATTCATCTTCATCGACACCTTCTGATAAAGGACTACCCGATGCATTTTGTAATTGTCGACGAGCTTGTTTTTTATGTTTCATACGACGATTTTGAAACCTAATTTATATTGAAATTAATATTTTAATTAATACTTTACATTAAACTTACCATGTTTTGACCTTAAAGTTATGAAATCAACGCATAAAAAAGAAAAAATGAAAAATGAAAAATTATATATAATAAATATTCTTAGTTTATTTAGTTTTCAAAAGAAGAAAAATAATATAAATTTCTATTTACCTGTGCTTCCGATAGATTAAGTGCATTAGCTAATTCGACTCGTTCTGGTGTACTTAAATATTTTTGTCCATCAAATCGTTTTTCAAGACCATTAAGTTGATGATCACTGAACACTGTTCGAGCTTTGCGTCGACGACAATGCTTGAGCGAATGTTCACTGTTAAGATAGGCATGAAAACTCAAACCTAAAATGATAGACATTACAGATGGTCAATCGATGTAATATACTTGCTAGACGATGAGACACGCCCTGTCTGACCTTGAGATGAAATCACGCCTTTCTTTTTTACTCAACAGGTGTGCGACTTTTCGTTTTGATTAAATAATTACTTTATGAGTAGATCACTAGTTAGACAATGTTCATTGAAAGAAAAAAAAGAAAAAGAAAGATGTTGAGCCGATTAGTAAAATATTCTCATTAGAATAACTATTCGTCATACTCATTAGTCATCTCATCATTCAACGACAACATTATTGTCGTCTTAGTGGACATGCAAAAAAAAAACGAAAAAGAGAAGATGACGACCACCCGTCGATTTTCTAACGAGAATGACTCTACCTATCGTTGAAGATTACTTCTGTTCTAACATACCATGAAAAAAGAATGGATGTAATTCAGGTTTAATAGCTGCATATTGATTAAATTGATTAGGTGGTTGAAAAAAATTAAGTGATATTGGTGTTATATCATTTGGTAATACAGGAATATGTTCTTTTGGTGGAATAGGAGGAGGAGGAGGAGGATTTAATGGCATTGATATAGGTACTGGTGCTGCTGCTGATGTTGTTGTTGTTGGTCGTTTAAAAGCAGAAAGTAAATCATCAATCAAAAAACTACTCTTGATCGTTGTAGTCATATTTATGTTTGTATTTCAATCAAGTGATAATAGATGCTCATCAACATTTTTTTTTCTCTCTTGTATTTGTCTCACTGGTAATACTAGTGACAAGAATTTCCATAACAAATTGCAAGCAATCAAAATGAGAAAGAAGAGAGAAAGCATTTCATTGGCACTGTAAATTGAAACGAGAAAACATGATCCTCATTGGACGATAAAATTGTTCTCTCTTTTCCTCTTTTTCTCGAGCTAATTTTGTATTAATATGCTTTGAAGAGGAAAGAAAAAAAAGAAGAAGAGGAGTTTTTATTCGGTTCGACATTTTTAGTTAGCATATTGGGGGATTTAGTATATAAGTCGATGTATTTTGGTCCTCTCTTTTCTAATTAGTACGGATGATGTTTGAATAGCATGCAATGCTTTTACAAGTAGAAATAATTAAATCAGATCAATCCAGAGTATTATTTTTTTAGACATCATAATAGAAGAAAAGAAAAGGTAATAACAACTGATGAAGAGATTCGGAAATGAATCAAGATTTGCCAATTTAGATATGTCATTCATATAAATGTATC